GAACGTGAGTGAAAATCAGACCCATTTTTTTTGTGTTGCTTTTCACTCACCTTTCACTCACCTTCGGGTTGTGGCCCATGCGTGGAAGAGAGGCCGAAAACAAAATTTTTCGGTGTTTCCCATCATGAGGGAATGTCAGTCCGTGTCAGACCCTCGTCCAAGTTGTCTGTAGTCCCCGCAAATGTTTCACATGGGCAATGCTTTTGTCCTCTTCCTTTGACATGCATGTGCCCCCTTATTTTTTGGGAGGTGTTTGGGAGGGTTCGATCCCCTCACCTACAGCAAATGGTGTATGGAGTTACTCTTGCCCTTGTTTTTTTACTTTTATTTTCCCTATTTCACGCTGCCACCCACCTGTCCCCCACCCGTCACACTAATCCACATACCTGGCTAGTGGGATCCTGCACTGTTTGCAACTCTGCATGTCTGCTAGTTAAATGTGCTTGTTGATTTGCGGCAAGACACGTGCTCTGCTGCCTGAACTACAAAGTGCAGAGCAGGTAAGTGCCTGCCAACACCCCTGCCCAACACCCCCCCCCCGTTCTTTTTTTTTTTTTTTTTTTGATCCGGACATTAGTGCACCCCTGGTGCCGGTCCAGACTGTCCGGGTCCGGTGATGTCCGGGTGTCCGGTAATGTCCGGATCACCGGACAGTCCGGACCGGTCCAGACACTGGTCCGGAAGAGAGTCCGGAAGTGTCCAGTGTCCGGGTCCGGGGTTACCATGGAATTTAGGTCACCAAATTAGTGTTGACATGACTATTGTGATTAGAGTTTTTGGCGATGAACTTTAGATTTTGCTGATAAATTTCGTTGAATTTTCAGTGGTAGGGGCTGTGGAGTTGGCTCTGGATTTGGCTGCAGGGTGAAATTTAGTGGTACCCTCGATGCGCCTGGCCGGTGATGCTTAGCCCGCCGAGGGCTCCACCTAATTTTGGGAGGGATACCGGGCCCGTTTCCCGGCTTTAAAAAAAAAAAAAAAAAATGATTTACAACAACTGCCAGAATTGATATTTTCATCTTTTTTTTCTCTTTTCTTCTTTTTGTTCAAAAAAAGTCATGGCAGCGATCCGGACCTCCGGACAGGGATCCGGACCGTCCGGTGTCCGGTGAACATGTCCGGATCCCGGTCCGGATTCCAGGCCCTTTGGCCAACAGCCAAAAAAAAATTTGTTTGTCCAGGGCGTTTCGTCTCACCCAGGGCTGCCAGCCAAAAATGCGAGCAGAATCTTTTTGGCCCTGAAGGGGCATCCGGTAGGGCCAGAATTTTTTTTTTTTGCCTGTGGGACGTTTTCTTCCTTCTATGTTTCTGCCCGTTTGAATGTCATCCTTGCATCGTGGCAGCTTCGTAGTGGGCACAGTCTTTGAATTCATCATCCCGTCTTGCGAGTTCGGCCGCCCCCCCTCCCACAACAATGTTCGAGCTTGCATGCCCGCCATTACCGCCATTGTCAGAGGGAGGAAGAAGCAAGGCAACGAGGCGGCCATAGCAGGCAAGGAGCAGACGCAGAGCAGGAGCAGGAGGGCTGGCAGTGGGTGCAGCAAAGGCCGCACGAGGAGCAGTGCAAGCAGCTCTCTCTCTCTCTCTCTCTCTCTCTCTCTCTCTCTCTCTCTCTCTC